CCCCCCCCCCATTCAAGCTCACCACAAGGGGGGGGTACTGGGTCCCTGGTTTCGGGGCCCGGGCCCTAGAGGGGCCCGTGCCACTGGTGAAAAATCACTACGAATTTACATAAAACCCTTGTCTCGTGAGGAAAAGTGAACAATTCACCCAGAAACTTTCGCAAAAGGTGAATAAATTTTCAAAAACACATTAGGCACTGTAGAATTTTTCTTACATCTTTAAAGATTTTTATCTGTTTTCAAGATTTTTAGTAAAGATTGATATTTTTAGTAACTGCGTTTCATTTTCTTCCGTCGTTGTGGATGCTAAGAGTTTCCAGTCTGGGCATCCTCGACTTCAATGGCTCAACTTCCTTGCCAAAGACGTACGAAAGGGGAGTCCAGGGGGGCTTGGACCCCCCTAGAATTGAAAATAGTATCCTCTGCCCCCCCCCCAAAAAAAAAAAATTCCAGATGAAAAAAAAGTGAGAGAAAGGCGCGTGGTACCATCCCCCCTCCCCTCCAACAATGAAAAATCCCTACCACCTACACTCCCTCCCCAGAACCCAAGAAATTTCCTGACATTGTATTATACATAAATTATAAATATAATATATATTTTTTATAAGTTTTTTATAACTTTAATATACAGGGTGTCTCACGAAAAAGGAGCCACCATGAATATTTGCCTAACGCCTCGGAATTTCGAAAAACGGTAAAAGACGTGTTCGTTTATATCGAGGGGGACACCTTTTGGCGTATTTGACATTTTCCCAAACCACGGGAGGGGCGCAGGCGGGGGTGCCTCACCCGTAAGTCGAACTATTCAAATGAACCCCCTTCTTTTTTATTTCAGAAATCAATCCTGCGCAAGAAAACAAGCCACCCTTTTCAAAGCGAATGATAATCAGACGATTTTTCAGTGATTGGCAGAAGTTGAAACATTTTTTTCATGCTCTTTTCAAAACTTTCCGACGCTTAATGGAATGCCGCATTAAACCAAACTCTCCGACAAAAAACTTATTAAACATTGCACTTTCGATAAAAAAAAAATCTGCTGCACTCGAAATCTGGAGCACGTGGAGCCCTTCTTTGCGAAGTTAAAATTCGTTTTACCGAACATTTCCGGGGGGCGCTCATCGAGAGGGAGTTGTGAGTTTTAGACAAGAATTATTTTTCTTTTTTCTGGAGCATAAGAAACCGTGTCCATGAAGAAACCGCTAAGTAGAAAAACAACGCACCGCGGAAAAATAGCGTCCTCAGAAGTATCAAGGTCCGGCTCAAGTCATTGACCCCCCCCCCCCCCCCCCCCCCCCCCCCCCCCCCCCCCCCCCCCCCCCCCCCCCCCCCCCCCCCCCCCCCCCCCCCCCCCCCCCCCCCACC